GGGGATGCTGAGAGGAGAAATCCATTAAAACTGCAAGGTGCTCAGAAGCTACAGTGATGGGGGCCAGATAGATACCTTTGATTGACTGAGGGATGTGGGGGTTTGGGGAGGACAGAACTGAAGCCCCCCACTCCTACTCACTGTACAGCATTGACCTCTCCTTTCAACCCTGCTCTTCCCTGAACTCTTCCAATTACTCTTCTTTCTCTCTCTCTCTCACACACACACACACAGTTTCTCCTCACTGCTTTGACCTCCATCTCTCTCCAATTACTCAGACTCCCCTACTACTGCTCCAACTCCTTCAACATTCCCTCCACCATGCTCATTGCTCCAAGTTCATCCATCCCCAGTTCCACCCTCTTCCTTGCCATTTCATGCCCCTGGTAAACTTGTGGAGATAGGAAGATGGAGGGGCTCTGAGGAGCGCATGTACCAGCAGGAAGCGGCAGAAGAGTGGTGATGCAGAATCCATACCCTTGAGTCATTCACTTACTGACAGACTGCCTGAAAACTCTGACTATTAAAAGAGCCCTAGTCTTGCTGCACATCTGCATTTTAATCTGTTTGGGAAAAGTGACTTGTAGATTCAAACTCTCAGTTTAATAACTTAATTTAATAACTAATAATTTAACTTAGCCATATTCTAGCTAAGATAAATGCTGAGAGAATGAGATAAGTTGGGGGATGATTTGAGCCATGGTTTAAGCCCCAAGTGTGCGCAAAAAAAACATTTTAAGAACCAGTTGATTTTTGTAATATGTTTTTTGGGACTTGGTACCTCAGAAAGCCCTTGCTAAATGACTCCACTGCACTACCAACAGTACCTTGCACAGCCATAAACCATGGCAAATGTCCAGATGATGCAAGTAATCACATGGAGTTTGGAGCACTTAAAATAACTGATCTTTAAACAGAAAAAAATGCTCAACCTTAACTGTAGCAGAGCGAATGCTCTGCTATAACAATTCAGAAAATTGTTGTATCCATATGTCCAATTCCATTTTGAATCTCACCAAGTTCTTGGCCTCAATAATTTGTGGCAATGTGTTCCACAATCTATGCGCTGTGTGAAAACATATTTCCTGTGCAGTAATCAGTTTTAAATTTGCTACCATTGATTAGCTCCATGTTCTTGCGTTATGATATAGGGAGAACATAAGTTCCAGATCTGCCTTCTGTAGACCACTGACTATTTTGTATACTTTTATCTCATCATCTCATTCATCTCCTTTCAAAGGTAAACAATCCCAGTCTTTCACTCTCTCTTTTATGAGTTTTTTTTACCAGGTCAGTTAACACTGTTGTTTCCCTTCTCTGAACCCTCTCTAGTTCTGCAATATCCCTTTAAAATGGAGTGCCCAGTTCTGCATGCAGTATTACAGATGAGGCCACATTACTGATTTATGTAAAGTCATTAAAATATTCTCCATGTTATTCACCATCCCGTTCCCTGTGCATCCTAAGATCTTGTTAGCTTTCTGGACTGCTACTGCATGGTGAACAGAGGTCTTCATTGAGAAGTCTAAAATGATACCCTGGTTCATTTCTTGTGGTGATACAACTCATTTGGAACCTGGTAAGTTGTAGGGAGTAGTTCAAAATTTTCTCCCCAATGTGCATTACTTGGCATTTATTTACACTGAGTTTTATTTGCCATTGTATTGTCCATTCAGCAAGCTTGGTCAGGTATCTGAAGTTCTTCGCAGTGTTCTCTAGTCTTGACTAAAGAACAATGCTGTGTCATTAGCAAATTTTGCTACATCACTACTAAATGTCCTTTCCACATCATCAATGAATATATTAAAGAATACTGAGACTTGACACAGAACCTTGTGGCACCCCCATTGTCAACCATTTATCATGAAGCAAATTGACCCTTGGATTGTACACTCTGTTTTCTCTCTCAGCCAATTTTTGATCCATGACATTACTTTTCCTCTCACCCCATAACTTCTTAGTTTCTTTAGTAGCCTCTTATAAGGTAGCTTTCCAAAGGCCTTTTGACAGCCTAAGTAAATTATGTCTACCAGTTCTCCTTTTTCCACTACCATACTGAGATATTCAACAAATTCTAAGAGAACAGTGAAAGACAAATTTCCCTTGCAGAAACTGTGCTCGATAGACCCTACCATACTATGACCTTCCAGGTGTTTTATTATTCTTTTTAAAATGATAATTTCAATCAATTGGCCAATTACAGATGTGAGCCTTACCAGTGTGTAATTCCCTAGATCATCCCTAGAGCCTTTTAAACAAAACATTTACAACATTTGTCACCCTCCAATCCTTCAGAAGAGTAGCAGTATTTTATGAGTATGCATATTATTGCTAGCAGCTCAGTCACTTCATTCTTAAACTCCTTCAGAACCCTTAAGAGCATACTATCTGGGCCTGATGACCTATTACTTTTTAAATAATCAATTTGTCCAGCATCTCCTCTTCCATTAGTCAAAGAATTCAGTTTTAAATAAAAATTTGAGCATAATAAGTCTTCCGCTGTATAACCATAAAGCAAAAGACAGACAGAGTCAACAGTAAAGACAGCCAAGAGACTGATAGCAAAGACAGGAAGATTTCCCTACCTGGCAGTGTTGGACCATTGCAATACTTCCTCCCAGGAATTAGAGAGGAGCCCAAGCACAGGCACTGATGGGACAGAGAACCAAGAATGACTTCCCATGAGGATTCTGCTGCAGCCCCATAAAGGAATGCTGACAGTACAGAGAAATATTTAAGAGAATGCCAAGTTAGGCAGCCAGCCACACTATAACAAAGGAGCCAAGGACCTGAGAACATTACATAAAAGGGAACAAGTCTGTATTCAACCATCAAACTGCTACACAAAGCAAAGGCAACAGTCCAAGCTGCATTGGGACACAGGTCTTATGTTGTAGCTATAGACTCAGGACAACAGTGGAGATGAAACCAATGCCCACTGTAGGGTAGTGGCAAACAGCTGCCACAGATCAGGCCAAGGACAAGACCAGGAGGATTTGAACTCACCTTGACCATCAGCTGGCCTGATGTAGGCAAGTCAGAAGCAACAGGGTATATGGACAATAAAGAGGATCAATAGGACACCACCCAAGAGAAAAAAGGCAGCAACGGGTCTGAAGCACTGGTATGTATTCTCAATTTTATTTCACTTTAATGTAATTCTAAATTGGGAATTTCCTCGATTTTAAAATGAAAATTTCATAAGTGAAGACTAAAACAGAAGCCCCCCCAAAATGTTAATGTGATATTTCTAATGATGTTAAGATATGTAGCAAGAACCTTACTTTTTTTTATTATTTTAATTTTAGGGCCAGATTCACCAGTACACTCTGGCTACTTTGGCCCAGCCTCGAGCAGTGGCAAGATACCATCTTACTGAGAGCACACCTTGCCCTCACTCTTATTAGGAGCAACGAGAGGCAGTAGCCATTTTGAAAAAGGGCACTTTTGCTAAGGGCCACCATGGCTGTAGTCCTACTGAGAACAAAGGGGGCTGATATCCATTTTGAAAGAGGTCAGTTCTGTGTGGAATGCTCTGTAGAAGAACAGTATTCATCAGCCTATACTGAGAGATAAGATTTCAGCTATGAAAGATAATGGCACAAAATTACCACTAATCTTACAAAATAATTTTCTAAAGTAGCCTGTGCACAAGATTTCAATGAGTTAACCACACGGGAAGTATGAAGACTCATTTGGTATTAAGAACATTTAGGAGAAAAAAAGATCCAGCACCAGGTGCTAAATTTCTCGAATGACTGATTTTTAAGTGATTACAACTCAAACTATTTAATGGATTTACTTGTAAATTCTCAGAAAACTCGTTCTGTACTCAAAAAGAGAAAGTACTGTAATTTGAGACTACACTGTATTCTTCATATACTTTATAACAAAATGGTTAATTCCCTCCTTTAAGTGCAAAACTCAACTCATCTTTAACTATGGAACTGGGAGCAGTGCTCCCACAGCAGGTAAAGATGCACTGAAATTAAGACTAATTTTCATCCCCACATATCTACAGTTATTAATTTAATGATTCAGGCAGAACGAATACAATATTAATGCATGCTTTTAGAAAATTAAAAGTCTGATGAAACAGACTACAAAAACAGCTATCACCATAAAGGTCTAAGGCAGTGGTTCTCAAACTTATTATATTGGGCCCCCCTTCTTTGTGTCTATAGTCGTTTACGCCCCCCTCCCCAAGTACGTATACCACCACCCACCTTTAAAGGCAGAGTGGAGAGCAATGGCTGCTGGCCAGACCCACACAGCTCTGAAGGCAGTGCCATGTCAGCAGCAGCACAGAAGGGAGGCAATGTGAAAAGTGATGTTTGCCAATATCTTTCCACAGCAGATTTAGCGCCCCACTGCCACCTTTATTTCTGTGCTGCTGCTACCACCGCAGGGTTGACAGCCAAAGCCCCGCTGCCTCCAGGTGTGTGTGGGGGGTGTGGGGTGGGATGGGGGAATCCCAAGCCCAGGTGGTGGGACTCTGGCTGTCAGCCCCAGGGCAGTGGGGTTCCAACTGTTCCCTTTATCCCTACCTCCCTGATATGCACGGCCCTTGTGCATGAGCCCCAACCACACACAGCTCATGCCTCCCTTGACACATTCCTGTGCCTCCCTTGGGAGGCCCACCCCATAATTTGAGAACCGCTGGTCTAAGGGAATCATGTGACATAGCAGTGGTATAGTGGTGAAGAGATCTATTTATTTCACCTTATGGAAGAGTATGACACAAACAGAAATTCTCAGGCTGTAAATGTTATTTGAGACATATGGCCAGTATTCTATTATCTTTGAACAACCAGCATAAATTTGAGGAACATTAGCTGTACTCTGTAACATATGGGATTCTGCAGGCTACAAGGCAAACACTACCAAAGAGTAGGTCATGATACATGCTCTCTTTTTAGTGATAGAAGAAAAACTAAACACTTGTGTATTAATATTTTGTTCTAAATACATAAAATAGTTGAAAGCAAATATAAGCTTACGTATGCTGGAGTCTCCAAAGCATCTGTATTCACCAGTACAGGAGGAGGATTTGCCTTTAAAGGAAAAATTTAAAAAAAATGTTAAAATGTGAGTCAGAGGAAATATTACTAAAAGATTTTAGTAGAGATGAACACAGCAGGGAAATGCACTCTATAGGGGTGTGATTTCTAAACACTAACGTGTTACACAATTAATTGTTCCATGTAAACCCTGCTGGTATGCTTTAACGTTGTGCTGTCTGAAACAGTACTGTGTTAAAGTGCACTAGGGAACCTTTAGTGCACACCAGTAGGTAATAAAATAAACTAGTACCAAAATGAGCAACACAGTCTGCTCTTCTGACAACCCTAGTTTATTAATGTAAAGTAATGAAAAAGGACAGGTTAAAATTTGAACATTTAAAAATCTATTCTCCACTTAATCTACATGAGAATAGCATGCATAAAGTTACTTTACATTAATAAACTAGAGTTGTCAGATGAGTTTTAATTTACGTTGGAAAGAAAGAACAAATTAGCCTTAAAGTTTAACCAAGTGTTCTTACATTTTCCACAGTACCTTCAACTTTTTTATTATTAAGACTAGATATTCTGTAATATCAGTTAAAATAATTAGAACTTTTCCCAGTAGATGAGATTTCTACACCACTATAAACTAGTACGGAGATGATTAAACATTTTCCATCATTAAGAAAGTGAAGAAACACCAATTAAATTGCAGCAAAAGGTGTAGAGGGTTTTTATAAAAGCTCAAGTATCAGGGGGTAGCCGTGTTAGTCTGTATCTGCAAAAACAACAAGGAGTCTGGTGGCACCTTAAAGACTAACAGATTTATTTGGGCATAAGATTTCGTGGGTAAAAACCTCACTTCTTCGGATGCACGAAACCCACGAAAGCTTATGCCCAAATAAATCTGTTAGTCTTTAAGGTGCCACCAGACTCCTTTATAAAAGCTGAAATTGTTGCTGCCAATTTTAATTCAATTTTTCTTATATAACAGACATATGGTTAAGATTTCCTTCTTAAGTTCCCTTTAGAATAGGGATGCCAAATTTGTTTCTAATTAGAGAAGGAAGGGGCTATCTTATAGTTATATACTATACTAAGACAGTTAGAGCTATATATTATCCTTCTATAGAGATCATAAGAACATAAGAATGGCCATACTGGGTCAGAAAAAAGGTCCATCTAGCCTATTATCCTGTCTTCCGACAGCAGCCAATGCCAGGTGCCCCAGAGGGAATGAACAGAACAGGTAATCATCAAGTGATCCATCCCCTGTCGCCCATTCCCAGCTTCTGGCAAACAGAGGCTAGGGACACCATCCCTGCCCATCCTGGCTAATAGCCATTGATGGACCTATCCTCCATGAACTTATCTAGTTCTTTTTAGAACCCTGTTACAGTCTTGGCCTTCAAAACATCCTCTGGAAAGGAGTTCCACAGATTGACTGTGTGCATTGTGTGAAAAAAAATACTTCCTTTTGTTTGTTTTAAACCTGCTGCCTATTAATTTCATATGGTGACCCCTAGCTCTTGTGTTATGAGAGGGAGTAAATAACACTTCCTTATTTACTTTCTCCACACCAGTCATGATTATATAGATCTCTATCATATCCCCCATTAGTCGTCTCTTTTCCAAGCTGAAAAGTCCCAGTCTTATTAATCTCTCCTCATATGGTAGCCATTCCCTACCCCTAATCATTTTTGTTGCCCTTTTCTGAACCTTTTCCAATTCCAATACATCTTTTTTGAGATGAGGCAACCACATCTGCACTCAGTATTAGAGATGTGGGCATCCCACGAATTTATATAGAGGCAATAAGATATTTTCTACCTTATTATCAATCCCTTTCTTAATGATTCCCAACATCCTTTTCACTTTTTTGACTGCCGCTGCACATTGAGTGGATGTTTTCAGACAACTGAGGTTAGATGTTGATAGATATTTGGCTGTGTGTGTGTGTTCCCTCTTTGTGCCGCCCCAGTCCCGCGCAGACAGCTGGCACGGCAGACCTCGAGCGAACCACTCAATGACCAGAAGATCCATTAAGGGACGAAGGCACCCAGCCATGTTTATTGTTGACAAATCATGGTATTAGTATCTCGCAGACTCTACCAGACCACTAATACATGTATGCCCGTAACAGTGGACCAGCTCAGTGAATGGCGGGACTTTCCGTTCCTCGCTAAGACCAGACAAAGATACTCCCTCTGAGATACATCCTTATACCCCAATACAAACAAGTTAGTATTGTCCCTTTGACATAGTTAGTTACTACCCCCTGACATCACAAGTTATCACCCTAGTTATCACCCATCATCATGTTGGTTTGATCAAAGCATCCTGACCTTATCCTCCAGAAGGGATCAGTCAGGGGTGGAAGGCAGTTCTGCCTCCTTCACAACCTGACCCAGGGAGTCCAACTGGACCAGTCTCAACGGTCCCCCTTGCACGGCCGAAGTCAACGGTGCAGGCTCCGAGAATTTCGGCACTGGGGGCTCCTCCATGGGATGCACCCCACTGACTGGCTCTGAAGGGGTGGGTCCTGAAGTCGGGGAACCACTCCTTCCTTGCTTCCAGTGCCGCTTCTGTGCTGGTGAGTGGGATCAGTGCCGAGCCGGTCCCGCCATCTTCTGTGCCGGGGAGCGACGGTGCTGCAGGTCTCGACTAGACTCCTTCCGCGGTGCCGCTTCGGCCACTGCCGCGGGGGCACTGCACACTGATGAACTCGGCACCGGGTCCTGCCACGCTGATGCAGGTTGTTGTCTAAGTGCCGCCTCCATAAGGAGCTGCTCCAATCTAAAGTCCCGCTCCTTCTTGGTTCGGGGACAAAAGCCCTTAGAAATCCTGCACTTCTCTAACTGATGTACTTGCCCCAGACACTTTAAACAAGCGTCATGAGGGTCGCCTGTTGGCATGGACTTGTTACAGGACTTGCAGGGCTTGCATCCCTGGGACTTAGGCATGTAAGTCCCCAAAGGAGAATGCAGTCAGGGTGGAGGGTAAACTCCCGAGCCCAACACCTAACTAACTAGAACTACAATCACTGAGAACTAACTATAGAATATAAACAGTCCGAATCAAAACTAGGGAAACGTGGAGACCTTGCAAAGCATGATGCCACAGTTCCAATGACCGTCACTGGCGGTAAGAAGGAACTGACGAGGTGCCGGGTCGGCAGGGTCATATATTGAGCGCCATGGAGGTGCCACTCCAGGGGGCTCCACAGCTGATCCGATGGGTGCTGCTAGGGAAAACTTTCCGACTGTGCACATGGCATACGCACACATAATTGGAATCAACATGAACAATCACTCGATGAGAATTACTTCTCATGTCTTGCTTACAACACTCCTCCTAATACATCCCAGAATGATGTTCACTTTTTTTGCAACAGCGTTACACTGTTGACTCCTATTTAGCTTGTGGTTTACTATGACCCCCAGATCCCTTTCCACAGTGCTCCTTCCTAGGCAGTCATTTCCCATTTGTATGTGTGCAACTGATTGTTCCCTCCTAAGTGGAGTACTTTGCATTTGTCCTTCTTGAATTTCATCTTATTTACTTCAGACCATGTCTCCGGTTCATTTTGAATTTTAATCCTATCCTCCAAAGCACTCGCAACCCCTCCCAGCTTAGTATCGCCCGCAAACTTTATAAGTGTACTCTCTATGCCATTATCTAAATCACTGATGAAGATATTGAACAGAACTGGACCCAGAACTGATCCCTGTGGGACCCCATTCGTTATGTCCTTCCAAAATGACCGTGAACCACTGAGAACTAATCTCTGGGAATGGTTTTCCAACCAGTTTTGCACCCATCTTATAGTAGCTCCATCTAGGTTGCATTTCCCAAGTTTGTTTATGAGAGGTCATGTGAGACAGTATCAAAAACTTTACTGAAGGCAAGATATACCAAATCTACCACTTCCCCCCCATCCACAAGGCTTGTTACCCTGTCAAAGAAAGCTATCAGGTTGGTCTGACACAATTTGTTCTTGACAAATCCACGCTGTTACCTATCACTAAGAGAAGGTTGCTCACCTTGTGCAGTAACTGAAGTTCTTTGAGATGGTTGTCCCTCTGGGTGCTCCACTTTAGGTGTCATGGCACCCTGCACTTGTAATCCGAGATTTGTAGTAGCAGTGCCCCGGTTGGCCGCTCTGAGCAGCTACTTAGCATGTGCAGCCAACCGTCCCTCAGTTCCTTCTCTACCCCAGAGAGTCAGCGTGAAACTCCAAAGTACAGGAGGAGGAGGGAGGGTAGTGGAGCACCCACAGGGACAACCATCTCGAAGAACTTCAGTTACTGCACAAGGTGAATAACCTTCTCTTAGTGATAGGTAACAGCGTGGATTTGTCAAGAACAAATTGTGTGAATAACCTTCTCTTTTTTTCCCAAGGAGTGTCCCTGTGGGTGCTCCACTTTAGGTGACTATAGAGCCCCCTTGATGGAAGAGGGGCTTCGGACTATCTTTGTTGATGGCGGATAGCACGGAGAGTCCGAACTGAGTGTTGGCAGAGGAATGTTGTTCCAGGGCATAGTGTTTGGTAAATGTGGGGGCTGAGGCCCAGGTAGCTGCCCTGCAAATATCTACGATGGGTACATTATTGAGAAATGCTAGTGATGTGGATAGCGCTCTGGTGGAGTGTGTACGAATCAGAGCTGGAGCAGGGGAAGGAAGTGTTCACATGCTTTTCAGACTGCTCGGAGCTCTAGAAAGTTTATGTGTTTCTGCTGGGGACCAGCGTCCCTGGATGGTGGTGTTGTCCAGATGGGCTTCCCATCTCCCGAGGGAAGTATCTGTGGTAACTGTTCTAGTGGGAGCTTTTTGTTGAAATGGGACCCCCAAGCAGATGTTTTGCGGTTGCATCCACCATTTGGGGGAGTCCTTCACTCTGCAGGGCATAGAGAGCCATTTGTGGAGGGAATGCTTGTGTGGTATATAGCAGGTGCGGAGCCAGGCCTGTAGGCATCTCATGTGCAGTCTGGCATGTTTGACTACATAAGTTGTAACAGCCATATGGCCAAGGAGTTGTAGGCAGGCCC